GCCAGGCGGGAGCTCCTGGTGAGACCCACCTTAGGGCAGCTGCCAGGTATTAACCCCCCAGCAGGGATATTCCTCAGGAGCTTCCTGCCACTATCTGCCTGACCCTTGTGACCACCATGGTCCTTCCCCCACCCTGTCCCCTCTGGAACTCCAAGGAGTGGAATGAAGGCTGGGACTTGGTGCTACATGGCCTGGGGCGGTCACTGGGGCCTGGGCTGAGTTTCTTCACTTGAAAATGGGAGCCAGCCTGGCAGGGGTCCAGGAGATCGTGGTTTGATTCCCGGTCAGGGCACATGTCCAGGTTGTGGCCTTGATCCCCAGTAGGGTGCGTGCAGGAGGCAGCCGATCCATGACTCTCATAATTGATGTTTCTCTCTCTCTCCCTCTCCTTTCCTCTCTCTGAAATCAATTTTTAAAAAAATATTTTTTTAAAAAAAGACCTGAACTTCTTGAAAAAAAAGGAAACAGGAGCCCATTGGCTGTGTGGCATCAGTTTGCCACAGAGATCACATCCCTTAGTGCAGGTGGAATGCTAAGGACCACACCTGGCACCCCACCAGCATGCAGCCAGCACCCTGGCCAGCAACCAGCCAGCACTGGCTCTTAGCTGTGCTCTCCTCTTTAAAAAAACCATTCAGATCACATTTTTAAAAATGGGTGTCCTGTCTCCTTCCCCCGCCCGGCCCCTCCCCAGAGCCTGGGTGGCTGTCCCCTTCTAGACTCTCCAGCCTGTATTCTGACTTTCAAAAATCACAGGGAACATGCGTTGTCTTGTGCCACTAGCTTTCACAGTTGCCTCTAAAAAGGGCACAAAACCTGAACAACACACAAAGACCATGTAATTTAAAAGCTGAAACTAAAATCAGTAATGAAATGCCACCTTTCACTTATCAGACTGGCAAGAAAAGAGAAGGCCGATCACACCGCTGCAGAGCAGAGCGAGGAAAGGGGCTCATGGCCGCAGCCGCCGGGGACAGCAGCACTCAGGGCTCAGCCGCCGCCACCTGTGACCCAGCGACTTCCACTCTGAGCAAACACAGAGCATCCGTGGGAGGCTCAGGGCAGCACTGCCTGAGGAGCTAAACACGAGAACCTGGGTGTCCTGGATGCCAGGGGGTTAGAGAGCGGCAGGGGCAGAGAATCAGTAACACTGACAAATCGGGCCCACTCGCCCGGGCGCAGCGACTAGATGGCGGTGGACGCCTGGAATCGAGCTGCCACCACAGTGAACAGAAAAGACGACGCAGGTTTCAATGGAGTGGGGTGAGTGGGCAGAGCAGGGCCACTGAGCAGCTGTGGCCTAGGGGGCAGGGAGGGGACTGAACAGGGA